TTTTCTTGTTAGATAAAATTAGGGGTGGGCAAAAATACCGAACTGGCATGGTACCGAACCAAACGATATGGTACCGGACCGAAAAATGGGGTTTGAAACGGATCTCAATTTTTTTGTCCCGAACCGAACCGTACCGATTCTAAACAATGCCATGACCGGTTCTCATAAAATGATAACCGAAACCGGATCGAACCGGACCGAAGTATGATTTACTTATTTAAATTTACATTTATACCATTATTTTGACTAGTGCCTTTACATTTTCACCGTCTTTACTAGTTCATAGGAAGCCTGGAATCGGACCGATGTATGGTTTAATCATTTAAATTTGTACTACTATAATTTATCTGAAATTTATTAATTATGTAGTACTACACTACTACTTTCGTCCCAAATTGATTTGCAAAATTAACTTTTTTTGTCAAACAGATTCATTTTATTCACTTAACTAGAATGTCAATTCTTAATTATATTTAATTTGGAGCTTGCAACTTTGAAGAAACTTCAATGTAGTTTCTGAATATATTTATTTTTATTATTACAAATTGAATTAATTATCAATAAAGAGAATTTAACTCTAACATTGGTTGACCAAAAAATATTGACTTTGCATGTCAATTTGGGATGGAATGAGTATGAAAATTGATAAATTGTGTAGATTTTTGGAGGACGACTAAACTTTAATTGTCTCTTAAACACTTGGAAAAAGTGACATTGTTTGGTATTGGTATGACATGGTACCGTCCCGTTTCAAAATGAAACCGTACCGCACGGGTTTAGGTCTAAGACCGAACTGAACTGTTTGAACAGTAACAGTACGGGTACGAGTTCGGCCAAATATTGGACCGGACCGGACCGCGCCCACCCCTAGAAAAAATAGTACTCCGTATTAGATTTATCACATTTGATAACTCCTACTTTCGTCTATAAATCTTCTCAACCAACTTTTCTGTTCAACATGTGACATTTATATCGTTGTGTTTCCCATATTTCGAAAGCTTAAAAATATTATTCAGATTTGAAAAGCAATATGTGTAGTTATTGTCATTAAATCCCAAATTGGGAAAGTGCCAAAAAGTGGGGCTTCTTTATTTTGGGCAATCTTTCTATAATTGTAAAGAAATTTGATTTGGAAGAGGGTATTCGGGCAACCCCACATGTGTGGGACTGTGGATGCTTTGATGCATAAAAAGGGAAAGGGGAATCAATTTCCTCCGTAAAAAGAATGTGACATTTAAGTATCTAACACAGTACAACATCGATTGTTAACTAATTCAAAAGTATCTAACACAGTACAACATCGATCTGTTAACTAATTCAATTCACTAATGATAATAGACAGACAACCACTCTATTTTGATTTGATATTAACCCGCCAAACAAAATAGAGTGGTTGTCTACTACTTGTGAAGTATATGAGAGCATCCCTAATGTTACAATTATGTACAATGCACATGTGACATAAGATTGATAGATACATAAAGCAAAACAAATCATTCACATTTCTATTTCTTTCTTTTTATGGTTTTGTATAATTTGTCATTTTGGTAACTTCTTCACAATAATTTCAAACACAATGTATACATCTAGACACCCGTCTTGACATTGTAGAAAAAATTTACCAAAAACATATAAGACCTTTCAAATAAGGAGAAAGATATATTGCTAATTAATATTTACGTGTCTATTTATGTCACATATGCATCTTGCACATTGTGCACATTGTAGCATTGGAGATGTTTTGTGTTCCGTTTATATAAAACAAAATTTCAGATAGTAAAGGATTACGCCTCATCCCTGAGGGTACCCCAAAACTGATCTGATGATTATCTAGGATGATGTAAATTGAGCTTTGATCACACATTGATGTAAAAAGAGTGGAGTTCCGTCCCTAATCTTTGCTTGGAGTTGAACTCGGAATTTCTTTTCTATGGCATCTCTTCCTACCAAGTGAGCTACGCCCACGATCATAGGTTTTTTTAGAGGTTCAAATACTAGTATGATTTAGAATTTTTTTAAAATTTTCCACACCTAGATAACTACATTAATATTTACCAGCAAACATTATACGTACGTACTCTTCCTATTTTCCAAATTCATCCCAAAAACAACAACAAATTTTATCAATAAATCAAAGGAAAATTTTCAGAATCATATCGAAGCAGAACTAATGTGAAATTTGAAAGCAGGATTATTGTATATTTAGAGAAAAATATAATGCTAGTATATTTTTGAAATTTTCGGATCTTAATATGACAACACTAATGCCATAATATATAGAATATTCAAGCACAATAGCATGACAACAATTACTTGTATTTATTAAAAATGTTTTGCAATCTAACTTTTTTTTACTCCTACTTGAGGCAGTTTCTTGAAATCAAACTTATAAAAACATTTCTCTATTTTATTTCACTTGTCCCGAAAAACAAAACACATTTTTATGCCTTCCAAGTTCCAAAACATAAAATACTTCCAAATAAACCTTTGTAAAAATATTTTCATCTAAATAAGTTAGCCAAAACCCATATGCTGGCTAATCCACTTATAAGAGAAGTAAATACCAAACAACAGGACTAATTAAAACTACATACAAGTCCCAAGATACATATGGGTTAGTCATTAGCTACAGCTTTTATGAAACTAATTTACGGTTTGGCACATGAGAATGTGGTTGTTTTTTAACATTTGTAAGTTGGAACTCCAAAATCAAGAGTGAATTGAATCTTAAAACAAAGTCAAAGGTGAGTTTATATTCGCCCCATAAATTAATTCATATATCATTCCTCTTCTTTATTAATTAAAACTTTGGTGAATTTTGCACTATTCTCATTTTTTACTTTGCACTGAATAAGCAAGCAGGGATGAACCTCCTACTTTGAAGTATATAGTAGATATACATGGTAAAAAAGAGGCATGTATATGTTGTTTGTGTATTGCTATTAATTTAACAAAACAACAGGAATACGAATAATATATATCAATTAAACTAAATGGAGAAAATAGTAATATAACAAATCGTGCTTACAATACCTTTTGGGAGAATATACGAATGAGTCATGACTACAAAATTGCTTCATATCTCAGTTATTAATTTATTAAATATGGCTTTCTAAAAAATACGTAGTATTAAATATGTTGATCATGCGATTTGTGGCTTTAAATTATTTAATGTAGGTATATCAAATAAATTACTCCATATTAATCTTAATATTCAGATTTTACGTCATTTGAAGGCCTTTTATGACAAAATTTTGATTCAGGAAAAAAAGTGATATGATCTACCATGTAAATAGGTAATAACAATGTTAATGTATTTCACATATGAAATGCATGGCATCTTGCCAAATTATAAGAGATAATACTTTCATGTTTATAGATGTTTGGTAATGAGAAATACGAGTATGACTTAATTTAGTTTAGGGAAAATAGAAACTAATAATCCAACCTTTTAGCGGTCTTCTTTCAATAATCCCACCTTTTGATTATTCATGAATAATCCAACCTTTGCACCCCATCTTCATTTGTTGGTCCCTGATCGGTTAATGACTTGCTATTCCAAGTTATTTTCTTATCTTTGCAAAATATTATCTTTGTGAAAGATGAGATTTATGGTATAAGGATTTGCAAAGATAAGAAAATAGCTTGGAATAGCAGGTCATCAACCGGTCAGGGACCAGTGAATGAAGATGAGGTGCAAAGGTTGGATTATTCATGAATAATCAAAAAGTGGGATTATTGAAAGAAGACCGCTAAAAGGTTGGATTATTAGTTTCCATTTTCCCTTTATGTTTATCCTCATAGCCTCATAAAGACAGGACGGTGAATTAATGGCCACAAGAAATGGTGCCACATCGCAACTACGTACGGAGTAGTTTTATATGGAGTGTGTTTTTTTCTAAAGATATGTCATAGTCCGTATTAAATATTTCTTTATGATCTTTCATATCAATTAAATATCTTGTAAGTTGATTTGTAATGAGCAAATAATGTGACTTCTTGGAAGTTGGAATTAGGCATGGACTCAACCCGGTCAGGTCCCGGGTTGGGCCTAGACCCGGCCGGGCAAAAAAAAATTCAGTGAGGCCCGGGATTGGCCCGAAGGTTGACCGGTGCCGGCCCGGGCCGGGCCGGGTCGGGTTCTATTTTTTTTTTGTTTTCTTGATTATTTTATCCTCTACTCCCCATCCCAAAAACCCATCTGAAACACCCATTCCAGCCCATTTAAACCCAGCCCAAAGCCCCAAACCAAAAAAAAAAATAAAAAAATAAAAATAAAAAGGCCCGAACCGGGCCCGGGACCGGCCGGGCTGGTTCTCATTTCCTTCAGCCCGTACCCGCCCCACTTACCCCCTACAAACCGGGCCTAGACCCGGAACCGGTACCCGGTTCCCGGGCCGGGCCCAAACAGTGCCGGGCCGGGTGGCCCGAACCGGGTCCAAGCCTACTTGGAATCAACATTATCTATATGTAGTACGATTACGCTAAATAACCCAATTTGTAAATAGATTTTTATATATATCAGACAATAATTAAAGTTGAAAAATGCTAGAGGTACACGTTTGGTGTACACTTGTCTGTCCTTCACAGAGAAATTGTCTGTACAGACAATTTGTTTGTGAAGGACAGACAAGTGTACACCAAACGTGTACACCAAACGTGTACCTCTAGCATTTCTCATTAAAGTTTCGCCAATATGGTTTTTAAGAATGATGGATTTCAATGTTATTGTCATTATGTCATCCACAGTTCCACACTGGAAGAAAAAGAAATGAAAGAGAAGAAACATCATGGAAAGACTTTAGATAATAAAAACAAAATACTGGCTTCTTTCCAATAAATATTAGTAGACTTTAGATTTTAAATATTAAAATCTTCCAACTAAGACGTTAAGTAGGCTAAGGTTATAGGGAAAATGTTGAATATCCATTAACCTTTTCCCTAAACAGTCTGGTTTGTTGTTCTGAACCATTGAACCAAATGACTACCTAGGATGCAATTGGCATTTTAGTTGCAAATATATTACACACAATTGACATAGTTAAATTTATAATTCTAATTCACATTTAGATTACACAATTCAGAATTATACGAAGGGATTGCATTATGTTTCTGTTTGCCAAAGAAAAATATTTTATGGCAAAAGTGCGTACAGTGTAGGGATGAACCAAATTTATGTCTCTTCGTAACCTGGTATTCTTGTTCCGGTTTTAAATTTCAAATGTATTAGTATTACATTTTGGCTTAAATACATTTTGTCCCTGAGAAAGGAATGCAGGATCAACTAATCATCCTCGTCACTTTCATATTCTTGACACAATGATGCTAAAGCATTGCTCTTCAGACTTGTTGGCTCACTTGGCTGCTGCTTCTTCACAACGGCGACTTTAACTGACGATGACTTGAAAATAATTTTCTCGTTACAGGAATCCCCTTTTATCGCCGCTTTATCTGTGTCAACACATGCTAAAAGTTATCATCCATAATCCATCATAGCACTATTGCCATAAAAAGATCTGTAACAATACAGTCAACACTCTCCACCTCTCCACCCCCTCTCATTTGGTCCTTCCTAGGAATACACACAATAAAGGACCATTTGAACTCAAAGCAGCATACATAAAGTCGATTTAATATGCAAAAACAATTGTCACCCACTCCATTATTTTCCACTCATAAACCACACGAGTGCGGAAACTATTGCTGCCAAAAAGTCACATGTTTCTTTAGCAGAATAAAATTCCATGCAACAGTAAAAATTAAAGGACGCAGCCTAGAAGGCTAGAACTAACCTTTTCCGTCAGTGGCATTGGATTTCGCAAGGACATCTGTAGGATTACTGGGTTTTTCTTCAGGCTGCTTTCTCTGCGTTGAAAAAAAAACGCAAGTTCTGTTTAGTTAAGCTGATCCATAAAAATTGCACATTAGTTTTTAAACAGTCCCTTCATTCTAAAATGTTTGTTGTTTTAAAGAAGTGCACATATTAAAGAACATAACAAAAGCCTATCCTTATTTAAGTTTAACATTAAATGTATGACATTTCTTTTAAAGGTACAAAAGATTAGTGTAGAAGAGTTAATAAAAAATACCCATTGGATTCCTCTAAGGCTATAACAATAGTTTTTTTGGTACACATATGTTGGCTAAAATGACATTTAATTTGTACTTGGTATTTGCCATATGAAAACTGAGAAGCCTTTTCAGTTTGCATCGAGTTCGAAATGCAACTGTTGATATTTGAAAATAAATTGAGCTGTATCCTATGTTATAAGCATCCAAACCTTCTATTTTCATTTCAATCCTATAAATATGAAGAAATTACTAATGCTTGTAAATGGAACATGAAAATTAATGACATTTGTACCTTAAGAAAATTGATTGATGATTCTCCACTTTTATGTTCAACTACATCATCTTCATCCTCATCTTCGATATCTTCATCTCGGATTCGTTTTATGAACTTCTCTCTCTCCCCCTGACATATAGCCACCACACATTAAAATAATGAGAATATTGTATACAGAAACAACCGTGGAAGCAATAGAAGATGAAAAAGTCAAAAATCAAAGAGCCCCTTTGGCCACAATACGCACTTTGAATAAGTATTTAATAAGAGCTTCCTCTTCTTCCTCCGTTTTTCTTTCCTGCCACATTAGAAAGAAGGCCAAAATTATGTTAAGAGCACAACTTTGATGGTATAAATGGAGCTTGCAGGTTTCACATTTAAGGGAGCAAAACGAAAGGTTTAGGAGACGTATTGTCAGAAACAGCCGCAGAATGGATTAGCAAGGATACTAAAGTGTACTACTACATCCATATGAGTGTGTGCATCGGCAATGAAAAACTTAGATATCAGAGTTACAAAGTCGGTGATATAGTCTATGTATAAAGATGATGCTGACATTCAAAAACATCAAATTTTGCTCCCAGTTTTAAATAATGTGAAGTCAAACTGAATAAAAGTCTTACCTTTTCCTCAGTAGAGTCTCTTAAAGCCTCAAGCATTGCATCCACACTCACAGTTGCATGCCTCGACTGAAATAATTATCAGAAGACAAAATGTTAAAAGAAGTAAAGCCAACTAGTGTTGACACAATAGCCTCACTACAGCAGCACCAGAACATGTTTATAAATAAGCAGCTAGGAAAATCACCTTCATGGATTTCATTTCATCCAAAGCTGCGAGAATGTCCATTTCTCTTTTTGAATCCAGGGTCCTATTTTCTAAAGACTTCATAGCATCACCCATTTCTTCAGCCTCCCTTTTCTGTTTCTCTTTATCCATTTCCTGTGAATTGAGAATAAATAGGATAAGGCAATCAATTATCTCAATTAAATTTACTCCTAAATAACAATAAAGCAGACATAAAACCCCTAACCCACCCAAAATACATTACACATGATAAAATACAATGAAAAACTAAAACTGACTGGACAGGTAGTTACCTCATCTTTGTCTCGCCAAGGTTCAAAGTTCCTGGTTGCACCAGACTCAACAACATAATCAGAATTTTTTGGATCTGTCTTGTATGCAATCTCTGCAGAGCACTTTGTGCACTTGAAGTAGAACCTGAATATTTGTATACCCAAATAGGTCTGCAAATGACCCCATTGCATGGAAAAAATCAGAAATATACGAAAGAATCCGCATTTGATGCCTCAGTAATAATTAACTATAAGGTCATAACAATTCAAAAACTCCTTGCAATACTTGATCATCAACGCGGAACATAACATACACAAATATACAAATGTTTTTTTCTTTAGTCCACATATGCCTAACCGACTCTACGACGAACAAACTTTATGCTCACTGTATCCATGAGTTTTATCCTTAAACCAAAGGAAAAACCTCAACACATTTCAACTTCATACCACACAATTATACTCACATCAGTGTAGCGAGTCTCGTCCTTACACAAGTACACTATGGATAGTCAATTTCAAACCATGCTAATAATATCAATACTGCTGTGCTCATTCTTACACTATTTATAGATAAGGCCCTTAGGCCACACAAAAAAAATTCCATTCATAAGGTTTCACCTTGAGGCGCGCCTCCAAACCCGCCTCTTAAGCGCCTTTTTAAACCATGCTGGCATGCCATTCATAAGGTTTCAACACGGGAATTAGTGTTGTGCAGAATGATTCCGAGCAAGAAAACATACCATCACCAGGGAAGAATAAAACAATGCTGATTTTCTGTTAAATAATAACCGTATAAACCCTATTAATATGCACCAACATACCTCGCCCACGGCGTCTTCTTTGCGTGAGTTGAATTTGGTGCCCTTGTAGATGTAATTTCCACAAGTACTACATCTAACACTCATTGGGAGCATCATCCGGACCTTCATCTGCTGATTCTTCGGCTGCCTACGGCGTGGAATCTTCGCCGGATCAAAATCCGGCGGGTAGTACTTGTTCAAAACCTTTCTTTCTCCCATGGCTAATCAGTCCTCTCAACCCAATCAAAATCGGACCGTATTCGGAACACAGCAGCCAAATATAATCTCTGCAAAAGCACAAATGTCCTTCGCAAGCAAGTTCCTTGATATGGATTCTGTCACCTCCAAGAGATCTCCTGCGCGAATGATTAAACGTGTCTAGTCTATTATTATAATATAAATATAATAAGGAAAGGAAACTTCCTAGAGAAGTTGGCGCTAAAAGTTTTAGCCTAAAACACTATCACAGTAAGAACAATCACAGGATTACTTCAGCATAGAAGAATTTTTTTAATAAAGCATATAGATAACCAAAAGGATTTGTTGTTCAAAGACTGCAAAGACGCTTTATTGTCCTCATTTTGGATAATGAGAGATGAAGCAATAATCTTTGGCAGTCACTTTTCAGTTTAAAGTGCCAATAAATTATGGCATTTAAGCATTTTGTAAGAATCAATTGTTGTAGATAGTACTTCTGAATCAGATTAGGTCCACCATTTTATACTATATATATAGTAAAGCTGAGTTCTAGCCATACACAAATTTGTTGCAATTTGCTAGATTTTAAGGAGATGAATCAGGTTAGGTACTAAGGTCCACCATTTTATACTATATATATATATATATACACTGAGTATTTGTTTTGATATTCATCTCACACATTTCTAACAAGTTTTATATTCCGTAGATCTAATTAGTATTATGCGCAATGGGGTCACAAAGTTTGAAGCTTCAAAAAGGTGACCAAAGTTGATAGAAATACCACTTAATTGATGGGAGTAAACAACATAGGTTACAAAGAAATGACTTTTGTTTATAACAACTACAATGTTATCAGCTGTTTTACATGCTTTACTTTGTTTGCAGAAATAATACAATCACGTGCACACTTCGGGAAGAGACTGTGGGTGAATATTTAGCATACAAGAAGAATGACCATATATCAAGACTTATTGTTGTGTAAAAAATCTCAAGACTTTTCCCTTCAGGGATAATATACCAAAATGCCATAGCTAACGAGGCTACTTTATAAACATGAATAATATTCTACCTTAAAATGTGAATTTACTAGATTTTTATATGCTGTTTTCTAACAAAAAAACCTGCCAACCTATGAGTACTTTAAAAATCCATGACTATATATCAAACTAAACATAAAACATAATATTCTATTATGTTAGATTAAAATTTACATATATAAATATAAAATTGTTTCCAATCATGAAAAAATTATCCATGTTTTTAACATCTACAGAGTATTATATTATGACAAAAAAAGTTATCATAATTTTTTTACTATATTGAATCAGTAAAGATAATATGACACTGTATAAGTATATACTCCGTAACATGTTAATGTAGAAATAAAATGCACAATAAAATGCACAATTACTTAAGAAAGAAAAATCCATATTACCATGCCACCTCCATCCCTTAAAACTTTGTCATCTTTGACTTTTCAAGTCAATAGTTGAAAAGTTTGGACTATGATTTTGATTAGTATAATATTGTGGAAGTTGTAAATTTTATACTTTTATGAAAGTACTTCCAATAAAGAATATTTTGGTATCATTTTTATATTATAAATCATATGTAGTAAATAATTTCTTATAAAAATATATAGTTGGTCAAAGTTGATGATAGAAAGCAGAGAGAGCAAGGGGCAGGAACGGGCTTGAGCCCACCTTCGTGGGCTGGCTGCGGGTAATTTAATTAATTTTAATTATTCCTTTAATTTTGTTTCATAATTTATTTTGTTTCCTAGTATGATTTAATTAGGACTTCTATTCTTATTAGAAATAGAGGTTTCCTATTTCTATTTAGTTTCCTAGAATGGTTTATTTAGGACTTCTATTAGAACTAGAGGTCTCCTATTCTATTTAGTTTCCTATTATGATTTAATTAGGATTCCTATTCTTATTAGACTTAGAGGGTTATTTTAACCCCTTGTATAGTTGTATGCTTCATTTTTGATAATCTTGGAATAAAATTGGAGTTTAGCCTTTTGGCTCTGGGCAACGGTATTTTTATTGTTGATTATCTTGTCAACGGTTTACCCCGTTCGATTTTATTTTTCTGTTCTCAACAGTTGAAGATAATTGACCAGAAAAATCAAATGTGGCAATCTTTTAAGGGACAGAGAGAGAAAATATGTAACAAAATCTAGAAAAATCATTTGGCGTTGAAATGATGTTTCAATATCTAAAATAGGTGGCAATTTTTTTTTTTTTTGGATGAAAATAGGTGGCAATTAAACCCTACAAATGTATAGGTGTACGTCTACATATACAAAATAATTATATTTAAATTGAAATATGTTTTGGAAACTAAAAATGTATCCAATGAATAAAGATATTTGGAGTATGATTTTTTACCTGCAGAATGACAAGTTTTCTGACATTACAAACATTAATTTTTTCTGCCATTTTGGGATCATAGGTAAAGTCGTAAAGATCTGTTAATGAAGCAAAAACTAAATCTGTAGATATGAAGAAAATTACAAAAAAAAAACTGTAAAAGTAGCAAGTTACCAATCAGAGTTTGCTTAGGTTTCAACAATCGACAATATCATTCATTAATTTAACTACATATATTTATAAACAACTATGAATTAAATCAATTAATGAACTAATCAATGAAAGAGAAGAAGGAATGGAGGAATACCGGAAGTACGGAAGGTTCGAAGGTGAAAATTGAGGAGGGCCGATTAGCCGAACCGCCGAAGGGTGAGTGGAGGAGTGTAGGCCACCGAGCGACGGGCGTGAGGCGAGTAGGCGACGACTGACGAGGCTTGCTGCGGTGCTGGACCCGGGCGGAGTGGTGGTGCTGGCGCCAGGTGGAGTGGCGGTGCTGCGTGCTGGCGCCTGCCGCAGGGCGAAGCCGCGAGGGAGTCGGCGACTTGGCGGGGCGTTCGTGGATGACCCTGGTTGGCGATGAGTTGATCCAGATGTGTCCGCTACCTTCCTCAAGTTGAATTACTGCGCCTTCACGCATTTTGTTAATTTTGGGCCTTTCGGCTATTGGGCCACAAAGTTTTATATTAGGAGTCAAAATCCGGTTGTTTTCTTTTGGACTGAAATTTGCTAGTCTGGTCTGATCTGGTCTGGTTTGGTCTGATAAACGTCTGGTCTCTGTGTATTTATAACTACGGAAATCTGGTCTGGTCTGATCTGATTTGGTCTAGTCTGGTCTGGTCTGAGACTGAAAACATTCTAAAAGAAAATATGCTAACACCTACTTGTTGAGGGGAATTCTATGTTTTGTGCTATCGTTTAGATAGAATATGTATTTAGGTCTTTCCGTGTAAATTATGTATTATGGGCCAATTGGCCCATACTTGTAAACCTACTTTATCCCTATTTATAGGGACATTCTATAATGAAACTCTACGCTCAATTCTCCCTACAGGTTACAACACGTTATCGGCACGAAATCTTTGTTATTCCCTCTTTCTCGAAACCTTAGCCAGCATATCTGTGGTAGCACACAGTCCGTTGCCCCTCAGCCGAGCGCCGCATACAGTTGCCCCTCAGCCGAGCGCCGCATTGTCCCTCCGCATTTCAAAGATAGAATATTCGATCTAAAAAGTTTTATTCCATGGTTCTGTTAAAATTATCTCATTTTCGATTTATCTCATTAAGATAATCTCATACTAAATTTGGTAAAACTTATGTGATTCTAAATTATTTTTGACTTTATTCATACTTTATCAAATTTATATCAGTCACGTAAATTCACTTTTCATGATAATCACACCACATTCTCATATCCAAATAGGGAAAAATAGGTAAAGTAACTCAAACTTTGAAGAGGTGTGAGATAAGCACCTCAAACTTACATATGTAATTTATGGTCATGAATTGGAAAGAAAAACAGAGAATTACATTTACCAGAAAATTAGAAAATATCACTTTTTACCTCTAATAGTTGGGATTATTATTTTCAATTTTCCTTTAAATTACATATAAAAGTTTCGGATGTTTTATCTCACACTCTTTCAAAGTTTGAGTTATTTTAATTATTTTTCCCATCCAAATATTAGTGGGGCGGGGAGGTAGTAATTTCTAGACTTGCGGCCATCACTCCAATTTCCCCTAGGGCGTCACTTGAATCCTTGAACTCATTCAAATTCTTTAGCCTCATAAACGTATGATGGGTTCATACTAGAACACTCATAGGGTCCGTTTGGTTGGGGTGATCTCACATGAAGGCCGGAATGTGATGCACGGAATGTTAGATACCCTTGTTTGGTTCATGGGTTTGAAAAAAAATCGGGAAAGTTACATTCCCGGGAATGTAATATGGATGGGAATCTTAAACCCGTCTATACCTTAGGTTATCTCACATTCCCGAGGTGATCTGATTTTCTTCCGAAAATACCCTCAATTAATGATATCTTTTCATTTGATTTCTTTATATATTCAATTGTTATCAAATTTGATTTATTGTGACTTTATAAAAATTTTAATGTAGTCTCTAAATATGTAAATTTTATTTACTAAAAATAATCTTATTATTGATAGAGATCGGTTAGTTTAATTTCATGGTCTGTCGAACATCGTAAATTGTGTACTACCTTTTAGGTGGGACGGACGGAGTATTGATTATATTTGAATGTCTATTCTCGTTATTAGCATAATTTTTTTCCTTATCATTTTAATTTTTTAAGGTATTTATGTTATAAGAGTTATAGATTATTGAAGTTTTGATTAGTGGATTTCAAAATTTAATAGCAAAGTTGGTCATTTTTTCTTCATTTTGAAAACAACTTTTACGATTAACTTGATCATTTTTAAATATTAATTTTTTTTAGATGATAATAAATATATTTATATTACTATTTGAACAAAGTTTTTTTTTTCATTTATGTATTGGATCTACAACTTTTTACAATTAAACATATTTTACTTAAAAATAATTCAATTAGGTTTGATTTTATTTAATATTAAGATATTCATTTTTTCTTTAATTTTAATCACTTTAGATGTATATTGTAATAGATTTATTCTGTTAAGAGAAGATATTTAAAGGGCATAAAAGTAATTCATCAATTTAACATAACCAGCAATCTGACATTCCCTTGATGTTAACCAAACACAAGTGGGAATAAATTGAATACATTCCCGTCAATCTAACATACCCAGCAATCTGACATTCTCATGGTAATCTGACATTCCTTGAACCAAACATATCCATAGCATCTAGTAGAATGACCGGTCATTAATTCATTCATATAAACATTGCCTACAAGTATCAGAGTTCGGTATGGAATTCTTATCAAAAATATTTCTCATCAACATATATTGACATCTTTTGTATTATTGTACAGTTCACTTGTTCATCTGTATCTACTAGATTAGCCTTTTATGTGTTTGGATCTATTGGGTCCATATTAGCAACTCGACCCGCTATTTCTCTATAAATACTCCCATTGGGGGGGGGGGGGGGGTTGTAACCCTAAGACACAATTCTTAATAAATATTCATATACTAGCATTTGCTCACGCAAGGCGCGAAAGCTTGTGCCCAATATTAAAATAATACTTTTTTATAAATAAATGTCACTATTATATTATATGTGAGATTGTTATGACGTTTTTAAATAGTGTATATAATTATCCAATATTTCATAGGCCTTGAATAGTTTTATTCCCGTGGACCAACTCATGTTTGGAAAATATGCATATACTTTTTAAAATTGTGAAAAATTGAATTGGTTGTCTTTTTCATTTTAATATACGGTATAGTTGTAATAGTAGTAGTTTTTTTATGATGAATTGTGATAGCAATGTTTTCGCACACCTTATATAATGTAGACATTGAGTTGGTATAAGCTTAAGTGTTGAGTGTATTATGAAGTATAAAACTTTTTTATTGCCGGTGTTCTAAAATTAAAGGAAAGAACCCAAATAATAAACCATTGTACTCTACATCGTGAGAGCGTTAAGAATTTAGTGTTGATCACGCTGCTCAATAATTAAATAATTTTCATGTTATTAAACCATAATCTCTTTTGAAGTCCATATACGCCATAACCAATCCTTGTCACGTGCCTTCACGCTTGTTATTAAATCACATGTTCAAAATAATTTAATCTGGTTTATCTGAATTTAATATCCCAAACCAATCTCGTACAGTCGTTTTAAATTTGTTGAATTCAAAATAATTTAACACTTAATTTGAAGTTGTACTCGGACTTATTCTAAATTGCTTCTCGCCGGGGACTTTGAAAGAGCTAGAGGCTTATTGAGGAGATGAGTCATTAGATAAGATATTAATAGTAGGATACAGAAAGTTGCTAATCTGCTATTGTGAATTGTACTGAGTATTATTTTTATGATATAAATACATGTGTAAGGGATATCATTTGGTAAGCCCTATTCTATTTTGGGAAAATGGAAACTAATAATCCAACCTTTTAGCGGTCTTCTTTCAATAATCCCACTTTTTGATTATTCATAAATAATCCAACCTTTGCACCTCATCTTCATTCACTGGTCCATGACCGGTTGATGACCTGCTATTCCAAGCAATTTTCTTATCTTTGCAAATCATTATACCATAAATCTCATCTTTCACAAAGATAATATTTTGCAAAGATAAGAAAATAACTTGGAATAGCAGGTCATTAACCGATTAGGGACCAACGAATGAAGATGGAGTGCAAAGGTTGGATTATTCATGAATAATCAAAAGGTGGGATTATTGAAAGAAGACCGCTAAAAGATTGGATTATTAGTTTCCATTTTCCCTTCTATTTTTGTACACATGAATTAGTGATGTTTCGATTTAAAGTTAAATTGGATGTGTGGCGAATGTCATTCTTCAATTAACTATCTTTCAGTAATAGATATTCGAGAGGGATCATGATTGAATGATTAAATACAAAGATTTTACAATATTCACTACTCTCCCCGCTCTCTTCTGATCTACGGAGGAGTAGAACTTTTTCTTTTGAAAAAGAATCCATGGAGCTGTAGTTAAATATATTTCTAAAGCTTTGCCTGAGTAATTTGTTATATTTTGAATTTCTTTAATAATTAAAAGTTGAAGAACTAGTCAACTAACGGAAGAAGAACTTTGGATGGAGTAAGGGTAAACAAGCAAGTTAAAAAACAATGTCCAACTTTCTAAAGAAGATGTACAATCACTTGTGCATGAGAGTATTGACATAAATGAAGGGTACTAACCATTGTTCACAATTATAATGTTGTTAGACTATTCATCATATTCCTCCTCTCTAGCTCAACTCTCCTTAATTATATGTATGGATACTCCTATTATCGGTTCTATTTTTCTAGCGACAAGGATACTCAACTTTTATCCCATTTCTCGGTTCTATTTGGATTATTTTTCAAAAAAGAACTCGCTAATATCATTTTTCAGGTGGACTTTCTGACTACAACGGTGACTGGAAACAAAAAAAAAAAGATGGCCTAGAGGTTGCCTTAACGACGCACACCTCCAAGTATTTTTCTTTTACTTTTCCAGCCACTTTTGAAAATCGGGAGTATTGTTCATCATCTGCCTCACGCGATTTTTTACGACGTTAGACGCCGGCTCCCTCCAAATATCAGAATTAAAACACATGAACTACTTTGTTAATAAATGAAACACATGCCTCTCTGTATGAAAATGGACCAAACAACGTGTACATCTTCTGTACTTTTTTCTTTATGAAATGAATTTTTTATTGTTTTCAATAAATGCAACAATTTGACTTTTTTTCTAAATTATAATTTCCCTCTTTTGATTTGGTCATGATTTTTAGTCCAACCCTGTATTTCCAAACGTTCATTAGATGACCCTTGAGCTTTAGTTTTTCGTTGAAAATAGGGGTGGGAACAAGCCAGACCGGGCTTTTGCCTAAACAGGCCGGGCCTGTTTTAGAATATATAGGCCTGGGCCTGGCCTACCTGTTAAAGGCCCGTTTTTTTGGCCTGAGTCT